GGCTTCCAAGAAAGATGGAGAGTTGGCAGATAATTCAAGTGAGGATTGTCAAGGTGCTAACAACCCCCAAGGACGGTTAGAGCCCATATCACCCTATGCACACTGGCAGAGCCAGGTCTTTAAACCTTTTTGGAAAGCCAGGAGGGTAGGGGCCCACCACGCTTCTGCGGGGAGAATATTCCAAAGGGCAGGGGCAATGCTAGAGAAGGTCTCCTCCTGGGCCCCACCAGCTGACATTCTCTCACTAACGCAGTCTGCAACATGCCCTCTCTGCCTGACTGGGTGGGAGTCCATTAACCATTATACAGCCATCTAACAGGCTCTACTCTACCATGGGATCCTCAAGCGGATGACAAAGCCATGTTTTGAGGGCCTTTTGGAAGGCCAACAGGGTTGGGGCCAACCTCACCTCAGGGGGAATAATGTTCCACAGGATGGAGGCTATGGCAGAACAGGTTTTCTTGCTAGGTTCCACCTGACAACATTTCCTAGCTGATGGGACCCGCAACATGCCTCTCCTGCTGGACTTGATAGGACAAGTAGATGTAACTGGGGAGAGGCAGTCCCTCAAATAACCCAGTTCCATTCCATGTAGGGCTTTAAAGGTTATTACCAACACCTTGAATTGGGCCCAGAAGCAAATTGGCAACCAATGCAGCTCGTGGAGCAGAGGTGTAATGTGTGCTGTTCTAGGAGCACACGTAATTGCCCACACTGCTGCATTTTACACCAGCTGAAGCTTCCAGATACTCTTCAAGAGTAACCCCATGTACAGTGCATTGCAGTAGTACATTTGGGAGGTGACTAGGACATGAGCCTCCTGATCCAGGAATGGACACAACTGGGCACAACAAGAAGCTGTGCAAAGGCTCTCCTGGGAACGACTGCCACCTGCTCTTTGAGCAGGAGTTGTGAGTCCGGAAGAACCCCCAAGTTGTGCACTGGGTCTGTTTGGGGCAGTGTAACCCCATCCAGCACCAAAGATGGTAAATCCCCAGTTACAGAAGGCCCTAAAACCCAAAGTCACTCAGTTTGTGATTGACTCAAACATTCATCCACATTGCAATTACTAGGTACATAATGAACCACCTGGCTTAGCTGATCTTTTTTTGTTAATATCATAGTTTATATTAATAATTGGAGAAAAATGGAGGCTTCGTTATATCCTTTATTATTCAATTGCTGACAAGATTCAAAAAATACTAATCAGCTTGTTCTGTATGCCAGGATTCAGGTACATTTGTTCCATCTTTCTTACTCACCAGCTTGTTCAGCACAGGACTGAATTTAATAAGGTTAATAACAGAAAGAAAAATTCCACAGCGTGGCCTGAAGATATGCTGTGCCATGCTCCTTATGACCTTGAACGCACATAAGAGAGAGCCAAGGCCAGGGTGACATTGATAAGTCTATTAAGGAATTACCTCCTAAAGTTTGCCTCTCTTTGGACAGCCTGTTCTAGATTCTGCATCCAGACATTTGGTAACCTCCACAGCTGAAAAAGCCCGTAGCCCAAAAGGTGAGCCATTGAGGTGTCATGAGTCACATTGTCACTCTTTAAGTGAGGCCACCCACAAGAACCAGTCACCCAATCACTTATTACAGTATGTCCCAGGCTGAGAAAAGATCCCACAGTCCATCTAAACTAATGAAACACATGATCAGCCCTCGGGTTTCACTCAAGTGAGCTTTGTCTGTGGGGAATGCCTGAGAGGCCAAGGTGGCATGAGAACTACTAAGCTGATCTCCTGGCTTGATCACTGATTGAGGCAAGGATGATGCACTCTGTTTGGCCAGTAACAGCCTGTGGCTTCAGTAGGTCTCTCTCGAAAGGTCTGCTTGGCCTGTAGGAAAATCTGTAGAGGTCAAAGTAACAACCTATCAATACTGTGCTTCACTTTGTTCCTAATAAACTTTTCTTTTCTTTTCTTTTCTTTTCTTTTCTTTTCTTTTCTTTTCTTTTCTTTTCTTTTCTTTTCTTTTCTTTTCTTTTCTTGGACTTTTTACATTTTCCTTACCATGTTTTTGGAAAGAAAAAAATAAATTAATAAACCAATCCGATCTTTGGATGCTTTGCCACCACCTCTTTCTGCTGTTTTCTCAGCCATCACTTCTGTGCCCACTGTAGACTTTTGTCTTCTTCTCACTATTCCTACTTGGAACTGTCAGTTATGACTTATTTTAAAATGAACTCCTCAGAACAGGGGATTTATTCAAATCTCAAAACTCTGAACAAGCTTTAAGAGTATGCTACTCTTCACCAGTATTCAATAAACCATGTGTTGTGAATAATGCATTGTGCAATCCCAGCTGACTATATCTTATTCAATAAGCCAAGGATAAAAATAATAATAAAAAATAATAATAATAATAAAAAATAATAAAAACCATATAGCTTAGTGTAATATGGGAATCTAGCGATTGTTTTTAGTGGACGTTCTCAGCATTATTGTCAGATGCAACTAAAATAGCCAAATAGCTACAAAGTCGATATGAGTGTGTGTGTGTGTGTGTCTGTCTGTCTGTCTATGTCTGCCTGTCTGTCTATGCCTGTCTGTCTGCCTGCCTATCATCTATTTATCATCTGTCTATCCATCTGTCCGTCTGTCCATCCATCCATCCATCCATCCATCCATCCATCCATCCATCC